CACCTGAAAGTAAATATCTTAATATACCTTGAGTCTTACCTTGTCGAAAGGTATGCTGCGAACAGTAAGAGTAAAAGTGGCTCTAAATTGAGCCATGGATAGCTGGTGGATGTTAATTTTTCTGACGTTGGGCTAGCCGATATTGTCTCATATCTTCTTGAATGGAGTGAGCCCTTTCACAGCATAATATGACTGGTCTTATCGCAGTCTACAGGGTGTACTCGATAGCTGGACGACAGTGTCAATCAGTGAAGGACAAATTGTAGGCCGTGGCCCAGATTACAGCTTTGGTGCAGCTGCAGTGTAGATGATTGCCTCCACTGAAAAGGTTGCTACAGCACCATTGTAGCGGTAGCTCAATTCAGGGCTCAAGTAAAAGCATTGCCGATGTTGACAATGTCAATGATAAACGCGACAAGTAGTACCAATGCGTTAGTTTTTTATGGAATATCTAAATAGATGGATTCCCATTTTCATTCCTCGAGTCTTCTGTTGGTAGCTTCCTGACAGGGGCTAGCTATCGATTCAGCCACGCAAGATTTTGGGAGGATGTTTTTGGTTGCTTGGAGCTTCCAAGGATGAGTGGTGTTCTTTGAATTCTAAGTTAGATAATTTTAAATAATATTTTGAATCCACATCGCTCGTGAAAGGGAGAGAGGAGGTGTGCCTACGCTGCCTTTGAATCATGATTTGTCAAATTCCACGGACGTGAAAGTGTCATTCCTTTGAGGAGAATGCACGGAGGGGAGAATGCCCTTCTCCCATCGCCTGTTGCAGATACTGCGCCCATGTGTAGCCTTTATGCTTTGTTATCCCATGGTGCAGAGGCTGTATAGCCAGCGAGACTAATCACTTTATCAATGAACTTGTCTAGCGCCTCTCCTCTTTTGGTCTTATCTCATAAATATGCGGAGTTATTTTGATTAAAAAGCAAACCTTACAGTCCTCCTTCTACAAGAGAATAAAAGCATAAAATACAACAAAATTTGATGCATATTCTTGCGTAACTTTAGGTCGTTCATTCCCTTCTGAAATTGGGTTTAACTTACTGTTGCCACTACTTCTATTACAACGTAA